TGGACGAGGAATAATAGACCTTTCTTTATTTTGCCATTCTGTCCAGTGGTAGAACCAAAAATGAGAATTCGAAACTGTTTCCGTTTTTCCGTTAAATCAAACAAAAATAAACAATTCGAATTCTATAAGGTTAAATAAAAAAGAAATTTACCTTTTTTTGATATAATTGCTATGCTTAGTGTGTGACTCGTTAGTTTTTTCTTTAGAGTTTATAGTTGGACTTCAAAAAAAGACTGACCCCTACTATGAACTTAATAACTATATAAAATAAACTAAAAACTAATAACCAACTTATTGCTTCGTATTGTCGAGATCCAAAGAAACAGTGACTATATGACTGGATCAATTATATAGTTGTAACAACTGCAATTTTTCACAAATCCGATTATGGATTTTGAAGAAAAAATAAATAAAGGGATGCGGGTAAATGGAAAGGTGATAGAAAGAGAGAACAAAAATATCAATGATAGATGATTCCAATGTGTATGGTCTATGAATCACCTCATAAAAGGCAGTGTGATAAAGCATTAATATTTCAATATTAATATTTCAATAAATAATATATAAATAATAAATAATAAAGAGCCTCGGGTTAATCAAAACTGAGAAGATTGACTCGGGAACAAATTTTGTTGGGAGCTCCATTGCAGAGTTCGGGCCTAACCATTAATAGAGAAGCTATAGGAACGACGAAACCTGTGACTATATAAGATTCTATTAAAAACGAATCCTAATGATTCATCGGGTGGGATGGCGGAACAAACCAAGAACAAATTAATTTACTCTGAGAGATCATGAATTGATCCTACGAATAAAGCAGGAAAGAGTCAATATTCGCCCGCGAAACCCTTATTTATTGTATTCCAATATTGTCGCTTGATTTAATAAGAATAAAAATAAGGATTCGTTATAAAAAAGAAGCATTATCTATAAATAATACACATTTAGCCATATATACAACACAGCTTCCTATGTAATAAATGAAATATCAATAAATCCCATTGCTTAGTTTAGTTTATTAATTACTTAGTTTAGTGTATTAGTTATTAAATACATGTGTATATGTAATATTATCGAATCCTTTCATTCGCGAGGAGCTGGATGAGAAGAAACTCTCATGTCCGGTTCTGTAGTAGAGATGGGATTCAGAAAAAACCATCAACTATAACCCCAAAAGAACCAGATTTCGTAAGCAACATAGAGGAAGAATGAAGGGAATATCTTGTCGAGGTAATCATATTTGTTTCGGCGGATACGCTCTTCAAGCACTTGAACCCGCTTGGATTACAGCTAGACAAATAGAAGCAGGGCGAAGAGCAATGACACGATATGCGCGCCGCGGTGGAAAAATATGGGTACGCATATTTCCCGACAAACCTATTACGGTAAGACCTACGGAAACACGTATGGGTTCGGGGAAGGGATCCCCCGAATATTGGGTATCCGTTGTTAAACCAGGTCGAATACTTTATGAAATGGGCGGAGTATCAGAAACTGTAGCCAGAGCAGCTATTTCAATAGCTGCGTGCAAAATGCCGATACGAACTCAATTTGTTATTTCAGGATAGAGATGTAGAACTAAACATAAAAAAAGGGGGTATTGAGGATGAAAAACAACTGCGGGTTTATTTATTTCTAGACAAACACTATTTTTTTTTCTCATTCTTTGCATTGAAATAACGGATTCAAATAAAAATGATATGATTCAACCTCAGACCCTTTTAAATGTAGCAGATAACAGCGGAGCTCGAGAATTGATGTGTATTCGAATCATAGGAGCTGGTAATCACCGATATGCTCATATTGGTGACGTTATTGTTGCTGTAATCAAAGAAGCAGTTCCCAATATGCCTCTAGAAAGATCAGAAGTCATTAGAGCTGTAATTGTACGTACATGTAAAGAACTCAAACGTGACAACGGTATGATAATACGATATGATGACAATGCAGCGGTTATCATTGATCAAGACGGAAATCCAAAAGGAACTCGAGTTTTTGGTGCGATTGCCCGGGAATTGAGACAGTTTAATTTTACTAAAATAGTTTCATTAGCTCCCGAGGTATTATAAAGACTAGTAGATGAAACTATGATATAGTTTATAGTAGGATATCTGAAATGGATCCAATTAGTAGATTGTGTCTCACGCATATACTTTTAATATACTTTATAATAATTCATAATTCAAGTAAAAAAAAACATGCTGATTATATCAAAATTAGAAAGCACCAAAAATTAGAATTCGTCATGGGCAGAGACGCTATTGCTGATATAATAACTTCTCTAAGAAATGCTGATATGAGTAAAAATGGAACGGTTCGAATAGCATCCACTAATATCACCGAAAACATTGTTAAAATACTCCTACGAGAAGGTTTTATTGAAAACGTTCGGAAACATCAGGAAAGTAACAAATATTTCTTGGTTTCAACCTTGCGCCATAGAAGGACTAGGAAAGTAATATATAGAACTATTTTAAAACGTATCAGTAGACCTGGTCTACGAATCTATTCCAACCATCAAAAAATTCCTAAGATTTTAGGTGGAATAGGAATTGTAATTCTTTCCACTTCTCGAGGCATAATGACAGATCGAGAAGCTAGACTAGAAAAAATTGGAGGAGAAATTTTGTGTTATATATGGTGATCCTCCTCTGGTATCCTAATTTGATCTCGAACTTCCTATTTGTGAAATAGAGAGGAAAAGTGAGTTATATAACTCTTCCTCTATTAGTTGATACTTCAAGGGGGTTACCTGGAATGAAAGAGCAAAAATTGATTCATGAAGGTTTAATTACTGAATCACTTCCCAACGGCATGTTCCGGGTCCGTTTAGATAATGAAGATCTAATTCTAGGTTATATTTCAGGGAGGATCCGACGCAGTTTGATACGAATACTGCCGGGGGATAGAGTCAAAATCGAAATAAGTAGGTATGATTCAACCCGGGGGCGTATAATTTATAGACTTCGCAACAAAGATTCGAACGATTAGATAGATGATTTTTGAAAACATTCCTTTTATGGGAGATACAATTCGAAGCTAAAAAATACAAGAGACTTATTTTCTTCCAAAGAATAAATTCCCAATTAAGGTAAGGAGTGAGAAATATGAAAATAAGGGCTTCTGTTCGTAAAATTTGTGAAAAATGTCGACTGATCCGTAGGCGCGGACGAATTATAGTGATTTGTTCCAATTCGAGACATAAACAGAGACAAGGATAATCTTTCTAAAGTTTCTCAAGGAAGGCCCATGTAAAAATAAAGGATCCGTTTTAACATGAAATGGATATCTCCATATCTTTCTATATATTTCTGATTCATATTTATGAGATGATAAAATATGGCAAAACCTATACCAAGAATTGGTTCGCGTAGGAATGGGCGTATTGGTTCACGTAAGAGTGGACGTAGAATACCAAAAGGAATTATTCATGTTCAAGCGAGTTTCAACAATACCATTGTAACTGTTACAGATGTACGAGGTCGAGTGGTTTCTTGGGCCTCCGCCGGTACTTCTGGATTCAAAGGCACAAGAAGAGGGACACCCTATGCTGCTCAAGCCGCCACTATTAATGCTATTCGTACTGTAGTGGATCAGGGTATGCAACGAGCAGAAGTTATGATAAAAGGTCCCGGTCTCGGAAGAGACGCAGCATTACGGGCCATTCGTAGAAGTGGTATACTTTTAAGTTTCGTACGTGATGTAACACCTATGCCACATAATGGATGTCGGCCTCCTAAAAAAAGACGTGTGTAAAAATAAGAATTAAATGGATTTCAAGAGAAATAAATGATTCAATGATCTAATAAAATAATAATATTAGTATGGTTCGAGAGGAAATAGCAGGATCCACTCGAACACTACAGTGGAAATGTGTTGAATCAAGAGTTGACAGTAAGCGTCTTTATTATGGTCGTTTCATTCTGTCCCCACTCATGAAAGGGCAAGCCGATACTATAGGTATTGGCATGCGAAGGGCTTTACTTGGAGAAATAGAAGGAACATGTATCACACGTGCAAAATCTGAGAAGGTGCCGCATGAATATTCTACGATAGTAGGTATTGAGGAATCGATACACGAAATTTTAATAAATTTGAAAGAAATTGTATTGAGAAGTAATCTGTATGGAGTTAGAGACGCATCCATTTGTGTTAGGGGTCCCAGATATGTAACCGCTCAAGATATCATCTCACCACCTTCCGTGGAAATAGTTGACGCAACACAGCATATAGCTAACCTGACGGAACCAATTGATTTGCGTATTGGATTACAAATCAAGAGAGATCGCGGATACCGTATGAACCCCACAAATAACTCTCAAGATGGAAGTTATCCTATAGATGCTGTATCCATGCCTGTCCGAAATGCGAATCATAGTATTCATTCTTATGGGAATGGAAATGAAAAACAAGAAATACTTTTTCTAGAAATATGGACGAATGGAAGTTTAACTCCTAAGGAAGCGCTTTATGAAGCTTCTCGTAATTTGATTGATTTATTTATTCCTTTTATACACGCGGAGGAAGGGGGCATTCATTTCAAGGAAAATAAAAAAAGGTTTACTCCACCCCCTTTTACCTTTCAAAACGGGTTAACTAATCTAAAGAAAAACAAAAAAGGAATTCCATTGAAATGTATTTTTATTGACCAATCAGAACTATCCCCCAGGACCTATAATTGTCTCAAAAGGTCCAATATACATACATTATTGGACCTTTTGAGTAACAGTCAAGAGGATCTTATGAGAATTGAATATTTTCACGCAAAAGATGTAAAACAGATATTGGACACTCTACAGAAGCATTTCGCAATCAATTTACCTAAGAATAAGTTTGAATTTTAAATCTTTTAGAATTATTTAATATTTTTTTTTTATAAATAAAGATTCTAAAGAAAAAACTTTCTTTTTGATCTTCGACACGCGATACATATTTTCGTGAAATAGATCATAATCAAATTCATGTATCTAGGGAGGATTCACTTTAGAAGCGACTATTCC